TAGTCGTAGATTAATAATTTAATCACAAATTCATATTATTATAATTTGCGTTCATATATATGTTCATATTGTATTATTACAATTTAATTGTAAATAATTTAAATTATATACAAATTATTGAATTTCATCGCGAATAAAAAAGTGAAAAAAAAGTTTTTTAATTTCTCAAATTCTGTTATCAATCAAAGGTTAATCATGATTACTTCATTAATACTTTTTTTTTTATTATTAATTTATTGTACGTTAGTACTTCCTTATTATTCAAAACTAGATCAATTTTTGATCAATGTTTTATTCTTCTATCAATATTTTATTACGCAAGAGGGAAGCAAATTGATTATCAATATAAAAACCCATTATCCCTGCTTTGTTAAATTTCATCGAAACTACCACGTCCTTTAGAATTTTTCTTCTGTTTCCATTGAGAAAGTTCGAAGTGTCGAACGACAGATTTCTTTCACTGAAAATATGTCAGGAAGTTGCAATCAGTGTTACGTTCCAAATTGACCCATAACCTTCGTCAGTTGCCAAACCTTCAAAAACTGCTATATACTGCCACCCACTTCGAAACTATAAAAGTGTGGCAGGTAAGATAAATTACACCATCACCTTTCACTCAGTTTACTCTACTAAGCTGGTTTTTTTTCGTTGGAAGAAATTTATTCTTGGCCTATTTCTTCGTGAATCAGCACACTGCAGAGTGACAAGGATAAATTGTATCATCGATTTTGAACTCTGTTCTTTTCCTGTGTAACTCGGAATAATTATATTACGTTATAATTATGTGCACACTGCATTACAAATAAAATATTTACTTTCAAGAAGTTGTCGCAGATGAAATGGCCAAATTTTTATCAAATTATTACGACGCCTTGAAAATGATGTTGATCAAATTGCAAATCACGAGATTTCAGCAATTGTTACGACCACTGCAATTAAAATCTTCAATCGATCATTGTTGGTCCATTCTTTTGGCCATTTTTCACGTTTGTATTTTCCAGTCGAAATTTTTCTCTCAACGAAATTTCTCGAAAATCTGTGTTAATGTTACTTTTGGAGCAACTTTCACTTCGTCAAGACGAAGTTTCAAATATTATAATCAAATTTGCACTCATGGTTTGACAAATTGACGCGATATCGACCATATTCTTTTTGGTAAACCAACGTATGGTAAATGTTATACTAAACAATAAATACAACAAATTGGTAACAAATAATAAACAATTATTATATTTAACAACTTTCTCAGTCGTGGAAGTTGCGAATTTCATACGGATAACATGATGGCATCAAATATAATTTTGTTCAACATTTTCTCCTAGACAAAGAATTCTATTGCAAAGAAGGAAAAGTATTTAAGAAGATACAACTTGATAAACGAGGTGAGGAGAACAGCAGAGTTGATCAATGCATCCGACCAAAGTACCCTTTTCATCGCAAGGAAAAAAAGATAGGTTTAAGTTTATTTAAACCTTTCTCCGCCGACACAGGGGTGCTAATGCTATCCATTCAATGGCCCGCAGAAAGTAGTTGCACTTCACCTTTACATTCGTTCTCGAGGTAGCATAGTACGAGTTAATGTGAACGCGAAATTCAGCCATTCGGATGTGAATTCGCTGAAACGCGTGAAGGAAGAACATGGGGAAAGAAATTCGGCTCGACTAACACGAAACGCGCCTAATATCCTGGCCTGGATCCTTTCAACGCGAGTCTCAGGAAAAGAAGGAGTAATAAAATTGTGCTATCGACCGACTACAAATCTATTGCCAACTCGAACAGCGGGTGTATTATATACTCGTCCTCGCAAAACGAGTGAAACAAGCACGGTCGACGTGATATTAATGTAACGTCACGTAACTGTACCGTTTCAACTCTGAACTCTGAAGTATAAGTGTGTTAAAAAATGTCTCATCTCAATATGAGTGGTGAGGTATTTTTCAATCCTTAAAAAATTCAAAGACAGAGGTTTATGTTAGTTTTGTTTAGAGATTTCTTCAATGAATGTTGCTCTATCTATTTTTTTAGTTTTAATTATCTTGCGTCATTGTTTCATACATGTTTGGTTGTAAAAAAATTTCAAACGCACTTTGGAATTTTTTTTTTTTACTATGAAAATTTGTACCTCAAGTACCTACTGTAAAGCAGTCTGGAAAAATGAAAAGTATCTTAATTTTCATTCGTACTTTACATTTTTCAATGAGTATCTCGATGCTACTGCAAAATAATTTGCAACAGGTGTAATAGGGGCGAGTGAAGTTTAAAAACAGAGGCCAATAATTTCAAAAATTTGAGGAGACATTTTGTCACAAATATATACCGAACTTTCATTAAATTTTAAGAAACTTGTTTCCTAAATTTTAAGAAACTTCATGCTTTACACGAATTTAGAAAAACTCGTAAAGTTCTGATGTATTAGACTGAAACTCCACCGTTTCATGTTTGACGAAAGACACGAACAAACTTCAAATAGAAAATGCATTCGGTATGAAAATATCATAAATTTAAATGCCTGAAAATTTGTTTCGACGAACGCTTGGAGATTTCTTGCAATTTCTTAGATCGTTAAAAAGATTTTCATAGAAAAAAAAAAAAAAAGAACAAGATGAACGCACGCTACAAACATCGTTATTCAAAAAAAAAAAAAAAAGTTTCACGCAAATCATTGTTGGCAAATGTAACTGACACTGGTAGACCCGTGCTATTAAATAAAATGAATATATAAATATTAACATAATATGTAGGGTAGGGTATAATCGTGCATGGTGCTAACAAAGAGAATCATTCCAATAAACGGCTATAAATTCGTGGAGAGAGTAAATACGATCATACCTTAGACGCGATCGGGTCGAAACTTTATAGAAATGACATTTGACAGTATTACGAAGTGAATATTTTTCTATACGATCGTATTGTTGCGTTACCTCTGAATATTTTATCGTACCAAAGAATTTATTGTACTTTACTAGTGCTGTAGTATTTATTACACACGTTGTATTATAATAATGCAAAGAGCGATAATTAGTTGTATTGTTGTAAAATTGAACGATCATTATGAAAGTAAGTTATTATAAAAAATTGTAACATATACCAGAGTTTAATTACGATTACGTCTATTGTTGCGTAAAATAATATCTTCGTTTATTTATTTTATATATAATAAGTTTATTTCTTGCGTGAAGTATGTATATTTGTTGTGTTGTTATGTTTAAAATGTATAAAAGGCGCGTCGAGAGTGAAAAAAATGAAACCAAAAGTGATTATTAACAGTTGTCACTGATCTTAATTGTATTCACTGATGACCACTATTGTTTAGAAAACTGGCGACTATTATTAATTGAAAATTATAAATGCCAGTTTTGAGCTACTGTTAATAGTTCGTAATTATCGTTGTTTTTAAATATTGTATCTCTAATATTTATTATGACACAGCTAAAGGCTCTACAATTCATAATTGTAAAACGTCTGCTATTGAATTGAACAGCAACAGTGTCTTAATGATAATATCTTCGTAGAAACAATCTTTTTGATATTCGATTTAAGTACAAAATAAGTAAAAAAAAAGAAAAAAAAAAAAAAAAAAAAAAAAAAAAATAGGGAGAGAGAGAGGGAAAGAGAAAGGGGGTGAAAACCGAAGAAACGAAAGTCTTTTGACACGCGTGGAAAGGAAAGAAGAAACAAGTAATCCAGTGAACACGCTGGAAAGTTGCGCTCGTTTCATTGTACGAAAATGTGCGTATGTCGACCGCCGAGTACGAGCAATATCGAGTGATTTCACGTTTCTCTATGCACGTCTTGAAACCGCATACTATCGAGACATACTGTCGCTTTGCGATCTTGTAAATGCACTTGAGCACGCATGTCCTCTCGCGAGCGCCGTCTTTCATACTCTTTTGCTCCCCTCGTGTTGAGAAACAAGAGTGAGCAACGCTCGCGCTTTGTTCGCCAATCCTCCGATTGTGAGTATAATATGGAGTATTTCGCGTCACGCAGAGCCGGGGTGTTCTCTTCGTTTTCCTTCTTCTCTCAGAGACGTAACTTCTTCTTCTGTCTACCGTGGTGACAACTGATTTCTCGATATAGCATAAAATTTAGAAACCGAAGTACCTAGCTTCTGGATCTTGCAGCCGCGTACACGGTTTAGCCTGACTCTTTAGAGATTATACTCGTGTATTTGTTCGGAAATCGCTGCAAGATTCGGAATCGTCACTTCTTCTGTTAACTTCCGTGTGTTATCGGTGACTTCTGTCCTAGCCGGTGGGACCGACTTCGGGCAAAAATCAACTGTCTGTTCAACGTCGAGGAAGATAAAATAGATTATTTCACATAGCACACAGTTCAATAAACTGTAAACGAAAGCAATGAAAGAATATAATGCTATTTTTATATGTTGCATCACCTCTCGTGGTGACCTATAGCTGTACGAACTGTATTTGAGTTACTCCTTTTATTCGTGATTCGTGTATACCGATTGGGCCATTTCGTGTCACACTTCGGGTGATTTCATTTTACGTTCCGATTTTCTCAACGCGATCATAGATGCATCGCGTTCGGATATCTATTGGAGAACTGCTGTTACTTTCACTCTAGACCGTGATTTGATCAATGATATTTTTTATACTTTGTAAATGGAATTTAATATCGTTTGAAATCATGTCGTTAGAAATTGTGAGAAGCATTCTCATATAATTTGATGAGAAATATCCCCATAAATATTAATATCATCACATTAGCAGCTTAGAAATAAATGACAAAAAATATTTCTAAAGATGATCCAAAGGATGCTCTTGCTCACAATTGATCTAGATTACTACATTAAGATTTACTATTATTGTATTATTATTACTATATCTACATTCCTTTTAAGAATCTACCACTATTACTTTACGAAACCATCTGTAAATAAGTATTTTGTATTCCTGCAAAAATAAAATTACGAATCATTAACCACGTATCTAATATTTCTACCACTGGCACTCAGCTCGTGATAATTTCAGACAGGATTTGGACATCTTATTTTCAATTTTATTCTTTTTTATTTTCACAGAACTTCACTTGATGTTGCATGAATAACATATTTCTTTATCTTTATATTTAACTTCGATGTTTTTTTTTTTTTTTTTTTTTTTTTTTTTTTTTTTTTTTTTTTTTTGAATTTCTAATTAGTACTTATAGTATGCGATAATATCATTTAAAATTTTAACATTAACAGCAAAGAAAAATAAACTAGCAATCCATATACACGTAAAAGTATTTAACCCTTGGAATTCCAATAAATAAGCAGCCAGTAACCAGAGGCTTTGGCTGAGGATCCAAACCAAACATAAATATAGTGATCTACGTAAACTTAATCCAAACCGCGGAAGACACACTGGTAAAAGAGACAAATACCAAAAAAAATATTGCGATGTTAGTACTGGATTATACGTCACCATTACCATTGCTTGTGTAAACATTGCAAATGGTAATAGAGACTTGCTTGAACATTTATATGACAATAACAACAGTAATACCAATTGTGGTGAGAACGTGCAAATTTTTTCAATTATGTTAGACGGCTGATTAGCAGATAAATACAGCATGTAAAAGTAAACAGAAAAGTTATGTTTCGTATCTTTGCGTATGACATGATAAATAAGACTTTCATACAGATACTGATAACCATAAAAATAATAATTTATAGCTGTCAAAAAAGATAGTAATGATACACAACTAAATACCAACTTTAACTGATTTTTAGTCGGTATGAAATAACTCTTGTCACGAAGAGAAAAATACATGGGTATACTAAACACTATAGGATATAATCTAAAATGGACTGATAAAGCATGAAACAGACCTGCTAGAATGAATTTATCTTGCAAATATAAATATAAAGTTAGCATAACTAAAAAAACTGATATAGTGTCTGCATTTCCTCTGGTTGAAATTACAATCGTAAAAGGATTATAAAGCCACGTAAAGGCACAAATACGTTGTAATTTTTCATTACAATTTTGTAAAGTTAAAATTTTTTTTATCAAAACAGTCACCACAATATCAATAAAGGAAAATAAGATTTTCCCGAAATTTTCATTTATGAAAATATTTGGTGTTAAAAGTAAAGCCAACAGTGGCGTATAGCGATACGTATCTCGTTCAAACGGAGATAATCCTTCTACCATGTGTCTTGCGGCATCAGTAAATACGTTATAATCTATATCAGTGTACGGAACATGAAAAGTTTCATCATGAAAATTTGAGTAAAAAACTAAAGTTACTCTGAGAATAAAGGCTAATGCGCAATGTGCTTTAAATGATAATTCGCTCATTTTTAAATATTTAAATGTACTTAGACATAATTTTTCACATTAAAAGAAATTCTATTTCTTTATAACTTTGTATTGTTCTTCGCAGCAGCTTTCATTAAACATGCCTTGAATTCCTTAAACTCACTTTCACAATCACCTTTTTGCAAATCAGACTTGGCTAATACACATGCAGCATATTTAGCTCCAGATTCATGGCACTGTGCAATGATAACTGGATACTTTCTAAATCGCTCTTTGGCTTTTTTTACTGCTTCCATCTTTAACTACATCACATTATTTCCTACATATGAATGTATATTCCTATATATATGTATTTACTATTTATTAATACATTACTTGTATCAAATCATATTTATACACGCTTGGTTTTTGGAATTTCTGGTGACCGTGCAAACTGATAAATACTTGATAACAGAATAGCTGAACCTGCTATAACATAAACTGCTATCGTTCTTTTCCTTTTGGCATCTTCTAAACGGTGAAGAACAAATTTCGTGCGATTACTCATGATGAATATTCTATTTCTGTGCTTTCCTCTGAAACAGAACCAAATCATGAATTATTAAATTAAAAAACATTTTAGTAATAAAATAATTACATGTAATGCAATACGTTATTTATACATACGTAATCTACTGTATTATGTTCGTATGGTTTGGAAGTGTCTATACCATCACAGACTACTGAAATAGTAGAATGTTTGATGCAACACTGCCTAATTTCCTCTAGAACTTCCTCACAACGTGACGGTTGATAAACGTTATCTGAAGTTGAATAATTAATCAATATGTGTTGTGTAATTTAAATGCAATCATTGAGGTTAGAAATAGCAAATTTCATAATTACAAGTGACATTAACAATACAAACCTTTCAAACACTGTTGTAATTTACACGCAAACTTTTTACACGGATCAGTAGTCGTCATACGAAAAAATCAAATGGAGTTATAGATATGCAATCGTTTAATGATGTAAGTACAGCTTATGCAATCAACAGTTGCAATTGAATCGATCGTAAATTGTATTACAAATCTAATGCACATAAAAAAGTATTGCAAAATTAGGTTATAAAAACTCAGGAAAATACTATTAACAACGTATTTAAGTTCTAACTTTCATTATGATGGACTTTTAGTAGAACATGAAAGATACATCCGATATTCGACTTACCTCGCGTGAAGCAATGCCGATAGATGGCATTCTAAACGTATTTTGTCATAGCAGCCAACAAAACTTTCATGTACACATAGTTATTAACGAATGCGTTAGGTTATATTATAAAATCCTTTGCTAATATCAACAAAAGTACAACAATGTTGGGAAAAATTAAAACGAAACAGGAGAAAGGAGGTAAATAATAAATCTATTAATCTATTGCTTTTTCAACATTATATTTATTCTGTTAAATAGGTTCAACATTTCTCATAGGTTATATTTTTATTTGTTAATATTGTATATAAATATATAGATGTCATGATTTATATGGAATAATTTTTATTATTTCATAATTTGTCCAGATGTCATAATTTATAAAATAGCTCATTAACAAAATTTGTATTTCATTAAATAAAATAATATTACTTTCATATTGAGCAAATTCATCCTCTGATTAAATTTATTTTTTTTTTTTTAGAAATTATTGCATATAGCGAATCAGCTGTTGTAAATAATGCTGCCGTGGTAGAATATTGTAGGATATCAATGGCAGCATTGTCAGGAAGCACAGCTGGTTTATTAGGATTAACTGGATTATATGGCTTTGGTTTCTACATTTTTGCTGTATTTGGTTTATGGGTAAGAACAATTCTCCAAAATTATTTAATAAACACTAAGTAGTACGATATTTTTGGTAGGCAATGTTATTACTAAAGGCCGGAGGTCAATGGAAAAAATATTTTATAAGCAGACGAAATCTTTTAACTAGTGGATTTTTTGGAGGCCTTTTCGTATCCTTTATATATGGTTCAAGAAAGAAAAATGGTTCGAGTATTAAATATTTATTAACAGGTATTTTCCTTAGCAAAATTTATTATAATCGTATAAAGACATATGTACTGTTTTGGACGTATCCTTTTAAACAATTGAATATTTTTATTTAAACCTAAGAACGTGTTACTTATTTATATATCTCGTTATTGTGCTTCAAATTTATATATTATATATTTTCTTTAATGTAGCATCAGATTTCTATATGGTATGGTACATGTATACTGATTGAAAAGATGTTTAGATTTAAGGGTTTATATTTTTTAACTAAATATGTCGTTAACTAATTAAATATGTCACAAACAATTGCCAGTTGCTGGACAGAGTAATAATATTGTTGATAAAGCACTATGTGATTTATTGTATATGTATGTACATAGAACACTGTCAAAAATACATTTATTCCATCTGTTCCATCTGTTTGACTTCGTTTATTATTATACTATTTTATTATTCCTATCAGGTATAATAATTATAAATGCAGTTTATATATATATATATTTAATCTTCCGTTTTTATAACATACATGTAATAAATAACATGGTATACAAAGAATATAAACAAAATATTATAAAATTTTAAGGATGAATTATTATCTAATATGATAATGATTTATTGAACACAATTCTTTTAAACATTCAAAATATCATTAAAATAAAATCCTTTATTCGACTATTAAAATGAATAAACATATACATTCTCGTATTAAACATTTCATTTTGAATATAAAACTGATTTATCTTATCTATCTGACTTATATTTAATTATCTGTACAATATATTTTTCAATTGATCCTTAGCAATACTTGAAATGTTGCAGCATACCTCCAAAAAAAGTAGTTTACAATGATATCGCTTTGTGCTTAACATGCACACATTTTTATTATATTTCGTTTCAGTAGGTGTTTGACAATATTCTAAAACATTCTACCAAAAATTCGATCGAAATTCCAAAACTTTGTTGGCAGTGGAGAGATAAAGTTTCATTTCTACCAATTCCGCTCGATATCGTTGTAATAATTTAATTTTTTCATATAAGTGAGCATATTTTTCTTCTGCGTTGCCGTACAAACAGTTGAAGAAAGAACATAAGCATTCTTCAAAATCAAATTTTTGTTTCGGAACTTTCCTCTGGAACAGGTATGCTCTCGCGTTTACAACTTTCCGAAATGTCTTCGAGAGGTGTTCCCATTTCGAGACCCTCTAATTTCCTTTCTTGATCCATTCTGTCCAGTTCATTTTTACTCAGATGATAAACTATTCCAGCTCCATATCCATCGCCCAAAACGTTGATCGAAGTCCTGATTCGATCCCTTCGAAAAATTAAGATATGTTATTCAATCTAGTTTTCTAACGCTTTGGTCTAAACAATGCACTTACAACATCCAGTCAACTGCAAACAGTAGAGAAACATCATTTGTCGGTAGACCCAAAGCTGTGAGTACTATTAACATTGTAATCAAAGCTGAACTGGGAATACTTGCTGCTCCTATACTCGCCAAGGTAGCTGTAAGGCTATGTAGATCAAGGAATATCATGAATAAATAGTAAACTTGGGCATACTTCTGTAACATCGATCATACAGACCTGACTGTTATAACTTCACCCATTCCTAATGAGATTCCATTCATTTGGGCGATGAAAATCGCAGCAACTGCCTCATAAAGAGCCGTTCCGTCCATGTTCACCGTAGCTCCGACTGCTACTACGAATCGCGTTACACGTGGATCGATTTTATTGTTTTCTTCGAGGCATCGGAAAGTTATAGGCAAAGTCGCAGCGCTAACGTCATTAGAACATACATACATTGTAATGTAACAATTTTCACCAAATTTACAGAAAAGGAGATATCAATTGGTGATACCTTGACGCTGTTCCCAAGGCTGTAATCCAAGCTTGCATCATACCCTTGAAAAACACGCCAGGATTCTGTCGAGTTAGAAACCAAAAGATCGTTGGCAGAGTGATTATGGCGTGAATCAATAAGCCCAATACAACCGTCACCATGTACAAGCCCAACATCTGAGCAGTTGCTGCCAAATTGTTGATCGACATTATTTTGCCAGCTATCAGACACATGATTCCGAATGGAGAATACCTGCGTGAGATTAAGAATCCACTATCCTGTCTTTTGTTCACGTCAAATTACACAATCAGATAAACAGCAAAGGAATCGCTATCAGGCTCAAAATTAACTTGTATTTCGATCGCTCACCACATCACGATAATACCGACAAGCTTCATGATTATTTCGTTCAGAACCACGAAGAAATCGACCATCAATTTCCCTCGGGAGCCAATCTGTCCAGCAAGGAGACCGAACGTGATACAGAACACTATCATGCCCATTACGTTCATCCCATCCTTGTATACTAATGTCGCCTCTTGGACTTGATTAATTTCATTTGTTCCTATGGCCACCACTTCCTTCGTCACGTAAGTGGTTTGCGCCTGCTGGAAACACGCTTGCACCAAATTTTCCGGCATCATGTTTCTAAAAATGGCATTCGTCGATAACGATTGACGCGGCTCGTTACGTATTTCACGTACCTAATTATGTCAAGGATCGCATCTAGCGTGGATATTTTCGTGAAATCCGTCTTGGGCGCGGTTATGGTGGTCTTAATCCTAGGATCACCGGGATGGATCATAAGCACCATTATGATGCCAACTATGGCCGCAAGTATGGTCGTTACGGTGTAATATATCAACGCCCTGTATCCCATTCTTCCCGAACCCTTAGGATCTAATTGCGCCATTCCTAGAAAAGGGGGGAGAACTTGAAGAAAGAGACCAGCCGACTGCGATGATTTATTGGATATTGCATAATCACCGGAGATAAGCGACGAAACAATGAGTGGCAGAATGAACATCTTCAATACGCGCATAAGAAGCTCTCCAGGGAAGCTGACGAGAGTGATGGATTGTGGCGAAGGATTGGCTAATCGACCAAGGAATCCAAGAATAAGACCCACGAGTACTCCCGCGATTGTAAAGACCAAAAGTGTATTCTCTCCTAACCAATCCACTACCTATGTTCATGTCCAAATACGATGTGAGTGAAATAACAAAGAAGAAAACAAAAAATGTCGAAAGAAGGGAAACATATGGGTACAACTAACTAGTTGTAATCTATCAAGCGGTGTCTTCTTGTCGGGGCGGACATTTTCTTCCTCCACGGTCGTTATTTTCTCGATCTCGTCGGAGCATGACCTAGAAATTGTTCTAGGTAAAAAAAAAAAAAAAATCAAACCGCAAAGAGGTCCTGAGAAGTTCACAGATCTTACATTTGCGCTTCTTTAATTTCCGAAGCGCCCCTGAGAACCGCGACGGCTCCAGATATACGTTTCCCAAGAGACATCGTGATCGATTTGATAATACGTCACTTTAAGAATTCTTGAGCAGTCTTCCTCTGTACGCGAGGAAGATCACGGAGAACTCGTATTCGTTCATTCCGCGGCATTCACCGCTGCGGCATCTGCATTTGCAAATCAGAGAGATCGTCACTGTATGAATTCCCTTCAACTGAAAAAGAACTTCGCGTTCTCCTTGTACATCGTTTATCAATCGGTCAAAGCTAAAAAGCGAATACTACGAAGCATAAAAGAAAAATCGACACAGCGAGAGAACGTAGAAGAGTAGATTTCCCTGGAGAACTCCCCACACCTGAATCCGCAATAGATGCACCGGTTTCGGGATCACTGCACCAATAAGACGAAATCGTACAACGAGCTAAATGGCATCCGTAACCGTGGATCTTGGCTGGTCTTTTGCGCGCAATGCACTGCCGAGTGACTACCGCGTGATCGAATACCCGGGACTTGGCGGACTAGGTATCGCGTCGTTACGATCTGCCAACACGTAGATAATGTGCTCCATCCAGGAAGCTGATTAGAGTTGGTGAGGGGTCAGAGGGTGAATACATCGTAAGAGTAAAGGGAGACAGATCGGAGAGTAACAAAGATAACTGGCTACAGGAAGAGGGCACTCATCACAACGGGTCGCACGGCACTGAATGAGCAGAAGGGAGAAGAATATGTACCACGCGCGTCTGTTTCGCAGAAATAGACCCGTCACTATTGAATCTACGGCATCGGCTAAATTGCTCTAAATGGAGAATTTGAACAGTTCATCCCCCATGTTGATACACAACCCCCTACGAAGTGACTAAAATGTGTTATAATGTCATCGCGTCATATGAAATGCTGTGATATATTTGCTGGTTACGCGATTTTTTTTACGTTTTCTTTTCCCTGTAAGTAAAATGCATACGAAATAAATTTACGGGCACTCTTTTAAAGACGTCGTTGTGTCTTAACAGGTTAATACGTTTCAAGTAGAAAAGCAGATGCGAGAGAAAAGCGTGGTTGTAGGCGTAAACGTTGTACACTGCGTGCACTTGCCACTTGCGAAACTCATTAATTCTATCGAATTAAACATAACATCATAAATTGCGCCGTAATGCTAGACTGAAAAGTGAATTACGATTATGATCTACGAAAGTGGACGCTGTGTATCAATTTCTCTTGCTTTACGTTATTTTAACAGGAAATTTGAATCTGTGTTGGATTTGATTAATTCATGAAATTATGGGAGATGCATTATCGCAATATATATTCGTATCGAATCATACGATACAAAATTCGAAATTAATCTGATGTATTTTACAGTAATTACGAACGTCGGAAACACAGATTCGAATTGGAACGTTCATGACAGATTATTTTGAAAGCATGTAGGATATGGGCCAATTTGTAGGGCCCCTTTGTATATCCGTTGGGGGGTAACCCAATTTCTCGAGTAATGACGGCTATAAGTGACTATATGTATAGTAATATCGAGTTCACGATGTAGATGTGCAATACATGAGTAAGTTATCTGTCACCTCGACAGACTGCTTAACATTTTATTACACGTACTGCATAAAAGATGACCCTAAACGCAAAAAAATGTATCTCTTAAGAATGAATTGCGAATAAAAAGTTAGAAGACTTATGAAAAATTGATAAATGTGAACGTCAAGAATATTTCAAAATATTTCGATTTATATTTCTCATTCAAAAGTTGCATATTGATGTGCAATATATTTCCATGCAAACGCATGCAAAATGCATCTATCTGGTAGGAATGATTTGCGAAAATTCAGAAGTATAACACGACGTGCTAGATTTTTTAATACTAATTTAGATAATATCAATATGCATTTTAACAGACATATTTTCAAGATGAGGTGGGTGGACGTAGCCCTTAAAATGAGAATCATTCGCAATAGATCCATTCTCAAATCTTCGTTTCGAGCAAAGAAGTTCTTGTTGTAAATCTCTTCATTCTATCGCTCTATCTATTTCAATCATAGTGAGAACATGTTTAACAAAATAATGAGGATATTTATATTATTAACGGTGTTTAATATAGTTTACGCGTATCAGAGAAACTTTTGGTCGAAGATCGAAAATACGCAAAGACAAGGGTAAGATCTGCATCTGTGTTTTTAAATATGAATCAGTAGCTAAACGTTTACAGCACAAATTCTATATTTCTCCTTTCTGTAGACCTAACGTCTGCGCTATAGAAGTAAACGATGATATAAATTATGCTTATTACACTGAGAGCAAGCAGTGGAGTCCTCGAAAAATTTGTGGCAAACCTACGTAAGCATAATTTTACTTTCTGCTACTTTGCTTTCAATATGATGCATATTCAGCTTTCGTTTGCTTTGCAGATTCGTAAGATACGACTGTTGCGCAGGATATTACAAAGTCGCTGGGTATCCTGGATGCACAGGAGGTATTAGATGCAATTTTATCGAATAGATATTTGTTTTCAAGCTCAATCATACTTCCGTTATATTTCTTTCAGTGAAACCATTGATAAATCTCATAGAAACAACGCGACGGATAGGTTCAATAAAATTTGCAAAATTAATCGAGAGTTCGACGTTTGCGGAAGAATTGCAGAGTGGTCCACCCTTAACATTATTCGTACCATCCAACGAAGCTTTTGATGTACATATGTCTAATTTAAATGTATAACGTGTAATCATTTAATACATTTTGATCATTTTACTTTTCAGAACTATTTAAAAGTAAAAGGTATTCGTCAAGAATGGTTGTATAATGGTAACAGATATGTAAATTTAATTGCGAATCATATAGTAGACAGACGCGTATTATCAAATCAATGGCAAGCGAATCTTTTAATTCCATCGCGATTACAAGGGAACGTTTTGAGAATCAATAAATTTTCTAGCGGAGTAAGTAACACGTTGAATGCTTATGTATGCAATTGTTCAATAAATGCTATCTTCTTCGTAGATGGAAACGGTGAATTGTCATCGAATTATTCGCAAGGATCAAATTGCCACTAATGGAGTTGTGCATGTAATCGACGGTGTTCTAGATCTGGCTTTGGCACAAAATTCAGACATAATCGAGCTTGCTTCTAGAGATGGTAGATTCGAAATATTTACAAAAGCCTTAGAAAACAGCGAATTAGGGAATAGAATTAGATTGAGTGAAATACCGTGTACTATATTCGCACCAACGGATCAAGCCTTCCATCATATTCCTAAAGCGCAATTGACCGACATGTTGGAAAATCCAGTTGCATTAAATGGTAATGAAATTATTTCGGATGCATTTATGTATGTTTTTTCTTCTATATTTTATATTATTTTGTTTAGCATTAATTGCCCATCATATCGTAACGCATCCCGTATGCATGCCAAATATAATTTCGGAATATCACGCAAGCACGATGCAACGACAAGAGTTAAAATTAAATTGCGGTCCATACGGGCCCGTTGTAGACAACACAAACATAAAAAATGAAATGTATCACGGAAAAAATGGATTGCTTTATGTTCTTGATCGTGTGTTACTACCGGATCGAGGTAAATAAATTTTTACGCGAAAAATGTTCAAGAAAATTCTAAGAATCTCTTAATATGAATTACATATATTCCAGCTAAAACAATTTTGGACGTAGCTAAGGAGGAAGGACTATTTACATTCCTAGAAATAATTAAAGCAGCTGAATTGGAAGAAACTTTGAGACACATGAAACACTTCACAATGTTTGCACCTTCTGAGACAGCAATGTATTGTATGTATTCAAATTTTACTACTGATAAACTCAAACGAACATATTTTGTTTCTTAACGTAAGATGCTCTTTTATAGCCCTATCAAATCAGAAACTTATAGAATTGCAAAGAAATCGAAAGACTGCTCGGAACTTTGTTCTTAATCACATAGTTACGGGAACATATTTTACTGATGAAATTAGTAGCAATCAAGTAAGTTAAGTATAAAATATTCGAACATATTTATTGGTAATTTTTCAAAATTATAATTCATTATAGATTGCCAGAACTCTTGAAATAGGAATTCCATTACGCTTCCAAGTTTACCGTGGTAATTTTGGAATAGAAAACGCATTAATTATTAAAGCTGATAGAGAATGCAGCAATGGCGTTTTACATGTTATAAGTCACATTTTACATCCTGCAGAAGAATCTTTAGATTATATTTTAAGAAGAGAAGGCAATTTCAGGTAACTTGTTTCCAGAACACAAGAATTCGGAAAGTAATGAAAAATATAAGTGAAAAATTATTACAGCATTTGGTTGGACGCTATGGAAAGAATGAAAAGTATTCAACCACAAATATATGATCAATTTAAGCGCGCAAATTCTTCGTGTACGTACTTCGTTCCCTCGGATGAGGCATTCAGACAGCTAGGAAATGCCAAACTTCAAAAATTATTGGAAGATAGGAACTATTTAACAAAAGTAATATTATTTCTATGTACAAGTTGATTCAATCATGAATGTTTTTCGTTGTTTATTTTCAGACACTGCAGAATCATATCGTGGATAATATGTTACTTGCTGAAAGTTTTATGCCAGACCTGCAGTACACTGTCAGAACTAAAGGGAACCCAATAAATATTATGAGAAAAAATAATAGAATTTTAGTAAGTAATCTTTTAATGATTAATAAACATTAGAAAATGAACGTCTTACAAGATATAATTTTTAGGTAAACGATGCAACTCTTGTAAAGAGTGACATTTTAAATAAAGCTGGTGTTGCACATGAAATAAATTCAGTCTTATTACCTGATCAATGTTCTAATGGGTATAGAAGAATACACGATGGAACTATTACAAGGAAAGTGTGTCTTTGAGATGAATAATTAATTTATGTTACTTAGTTACGATAATGTGTATTAGCACTTAATTACGATAATATGTATTATAATAATATATATTATATATATTATTTATGCACTTATATACTATAATATGTAATCATTTATAATAATATAGAATTATTGCAATTAAATGTTTTATTAGCACTTACTACTTCAAAATATTTAACCATTCTTTCATTTTTGTTCAAAAAGCATAGTTTCTTTTTAGTTACATTTATACAGTTGGCTACACTTGTATGAATATTATTTGCAACACGTGCGCTTAATAAATATTTGTCAATATTATTATGTTTGTATTTGCATGGCATTATGACTCTTGATTCGAAAGAAGAACGATATTTTTATTACAATAGTTTAGCCATTTTATTAAAAGCTGTCGAAAATGAACGCACGACAATAGATCTTCGAAATGAAGCCTCAGTTTACGGAACTGTAGAACATGCAGACGCGTAAGTAATTTTCCCACGTATCTTATGATTATTGACCTAATATTGTATACACATATAAATATTTCGCTTTTTTTTCCAGTTACATGAATGTTGTAATGAGAAATTGCGTCTTCACAGATCCTAGAGGGGATTCATACAGTTACACTATGTTCTTTGTGCAAGCAAGAAATATTCGATTCGTTCATATTCCACCAAAAGTAAGTAATTTTGAAATATGAGTTATGTACTACACATAATTTTTAATTTTTTGCAATGATATTGTAAATGAATATATATAAACTTTTTATTGTACTTGTTGAATGTTTTTTATAGTATTAGGTATATTATAATATTAGTTATATGGTATTTAAAGTATGTTCTTTTATGGAATTTGCCATTATATGAAAATTTTATGTTTTGTGGGTAGATAATAATATGCTAGAAAAAAATTTAATATATTTTGTTGCGTTTTTATATATTATTGTTGCGTTGCCTAGGTATTTTTGAATTCATAGGTTGCATATCGGATAATAATAATTTCAAGTACTTACAAGTTGAGGATAATTCTGAAAATATTGTTTACTAACGTACAAATGTACATGTATGTATTATGTGCTATGTACTTAAGTGATCCTAATAATTATAAAATATATAATTGAATTAATAAAATATACAATTAAATTGAAATGATAAGAACTTGGTATCCATTTTACAAATCAGTAATATCTTGTTTACAAGTACAGAGTATTTTGAGATACAACACTAGTGATAAATTAAAATTTTTCACACATTTTCGGATTCCCACAAATTTGAAATATTTTAATACAACAGCATCAATTATTCCATCAACACAAGTTAACATGAGTGTATTTAAGTTCCTTGATTACAACTGTATTGGATTTGACTTGGACAATACACTTTTGCATTATAATGTGACAAACATGGTACATTTGATATATGGAACTTTAGCTAATTATTTAGTAACAGAAAGAGGCTATGACTCTAAATATTTATTAAAACCATTAGAAGATAAAGACATAGACTTTATTCAGAAAGGATTAGTTTTAGATTTTGAAAGAGGAAATATACTTAAAATAAATGCTAATGGTATAATTCAAAGAGCATGTCATGGAACTAATTTATTAAGTATTGAAAAGATTAAAGAGATATACCCCGAACAGAGATGGGAGGCTACAGATGCTTTTTGTAATGACATGTTATCTACATGGAATGGCCCTTTATCAATGAAAATGAGAAGTTTATTAGATAATTTTGATATTTCCTTATCTCTTATTTTTGCAAGGTTAATAGATGCATTTGATAAAGAACAAGGAGGCCCTCTTAATGAATATAATATTTGGCCTGATATGTTAGATGGATTGATTGAAATGTTTAACAGAGATCATTTTAAGATAGGCAAAGGCCACTTTTTTCCTAGTCTCAGGGAGAATCCTGATAAATATATGTATAAATGTACTGCAAGAACTATCACTTGGCTTCAGGAATTAAAAAAACATTGTACTACTTTTCTTATTACTGGATCAAATGTAGATTTTGCTGATTTCACTGCTACTTATGCTCTTGGAGAAGATTGGCAATCTCTATTTGATATTGTTATTTGTTATGCAAAAAAACCTGCCTTTTTTACTGAAAAACGTCCATTTTTTAATATTGTAAATAAAGAAGAAGGTAATATCATAGAAAGCAAAGATTTAAAACGAGGTGGTATATATAGCCAAGGTAATTGGAAAGAACTTACTGAATTTCTTGAAAATATATCTGGCAGACAAAATCCTCGTTATTTGTACATAGGTGATAATCTTTTACAAGATATTTATGTACCAAATTCATATGTACAATGTGATACAGTGGCTGTAATCGAGGAACAAATGTCTGAAGGAATGGTTCAGCAAAAATTATCACATCCAGATGAGAAAGTGTTAAATTCAACACTTTGGGGCTCATATTTTTGTTTAAAAGATGCTAAAATTAATATGAACTCATTATGGGGACATGTTATTAAAAAATATTCAAAACTTTGCATACCTGAAATAGGTTTAATAGCCCAACAGCCATTAGAAAAATCTTATTTGTGTTTTAATGACGAAAAATATAATGGATATTATCCTGCAGTACCACTTAGTATATCTGCATTTTAAATTTACAAGTTAATCACATGTGATAAATATACTTTTTGTTAATCAGTAAAAGAGAATTTTATAGTCTTATGTTACATCATACGTTATAATATTGTTTGTAATGTATTCTTAATTTAAGATACGTATTATACCAGCTATCAAGGAACAATTGCAACGTTTGGTAGGGCACAAGAGAGATTTAACACATACTAAACGTACATTTAAAACAAAACGTGCAGAGCAAAAGCAACAAGAGGGACGAGCAGCAGTGGAGGAAATTTTAGAGAATAGAAAAAAGAGAGACCAAAAATTGAATGATTAAAACAAAACTGATTTAAAAGTAATAAATCACAGATTGATCATTTTACAGTATTTTTATTTACAATTTAATTTTTCATGTATAAAAATAACTTTTATACAAACATGCATTGCACAAAATACAGTATAAGATAGTATAAAAGTGATAATTTTGTACAAATTTTAAGTACAATTATCAGTAATCGACATATAAACAAATATAAATAAAATAAATTTATTTAGTTATATCTATTAACACCTTGCTATTTTCAACATACCATTATAGCCTCATATACTTTTTTATTATAATCATATAATAAATATTTAATGATTTAACAGGTTTATAGTAAAAAGATTATCTCTTCATAATTGTGAAAAAAACTTTATATTATATACCTATATACCTATATACCTATATACCTATATACCTATACATATTTTGTTATAAAATAATAATGCACATAAATAAAATTTTATGTTTGTAGAATAAGTAATACCTAACTGGATGAAATGTTTGTTATTTTCTTTGAACAGCAATTGCTATTCCCATTCCTCCACCAATACATAAGGCTGCAACACCTTTGTTTCCATCAATTCTTTCTAATGAATGTAATAAAGTTACTAATATTCTAGTACCTGTAACAGAATATACTTAAAATATATATATGTGTATATACTACAAATACATATATGTATTTTCAATTATTTTGATTTTATTGTCATACCAGATGCACCAACAGGATGGCCTAAAGCAATAGCTCCACCGTTTATGTTAACTTTATGAAGATCTAAACCAAGAGTTCTTACACAAGCTATTGCTTGCGCTGCAAAAGCTTCATTCAATTCATATAAATCTACTTCTTCTTTTGTCCATTTTGCTTTTTGCAACTGAAATATTACTTTTTTTTATTGCACGAATTTGCAAATCGTTATTAAACATTCGTCTACTAACCACTAACTCAATTGCTGGAATAGGACCTGTGCCCATAATTTTTGGTTCTACTCCAACTTGAGCTACTGCAACAATTTTAGCCAGTGGAGAAAGTCCTTTTTTTATAGCAATCTCTGCTGACATAAGAACTACTGCTGCTGCTCCGTCATTGATGCCAGAAGAATTACCAGCTGTAACTGTACCTTCAGCCTAACAATGAATCATTGTTTTATGATTAAATATTTCAATTTATGAAAAAAAGAACATAAGTAATTAATCATACTTTCAAAAAGGCAGGTTTTAATTTTTGAAGGCTTTCAACAGTTGTTCCAGACTTAGGAAATTCATCTTTATTCACAATAATAGATTCTTTCCTAGTAGGTACAGTCACAGGAATGATTTCTTTGGTAAAATGGCCTGCAGTAACTGCAGCCTGCACTTTTTGTTGAGATTTAGCTGCAAACTCATCTTGTTCTTCTCTACTTACTTTAAAGTCTTTAGCAACATTTTCAGCTATATATACATATATATAATATAATTATAAGGTTTAAATTATATAGTTATAATAAAAGAATTTTGATATGAAAGAGATGTATCAATTACAATTTTTATACCTGTTATTCCCATATGAATTCCGTGAAATGCATCTGTCAAGCCATCAAGCAAAATATGATCTGCTAAATTACAATCTCCTAATTTTATACCATCTCTAATTTGTAATATATGAGGACACTGGCTCATACTTTCTTGTCCACCAGCTATAACTATCTGGCTTTCTCCAGCTCTTATAGATACATAACCATTCAAAACTGCTCTAAAAATATATGTTTCTTGTAAATTGTATTCATAAATTATAACATGTAGAAAAATTTAAAAAGTCTCATTAAACATTTCTATTACTATTATGCTATTACTTATCACATGAATTAATGATATACATGATAGCACATAATTAAAAAAAGCTTAAAAAGACATTACACTTACTTTAAACCTGAACCACATAGCATATTAATTGTATAAGCAGGTACAGATATAGGAATACCAGCTTTCACTGCTGCTTGTCTTGCCGGATTTTGTCCTTGACCTGCTGTTAATACCTTTAAAAAAAATCTTAAATATATTTTAAAATCGTTACTTTCATCAGATTTGTATTAAATTATATGTACATATTATGTACAGGTTTTTTTTGCATTCATCAAATTAACAAATAATACTTACATATTCAATAATTTGAATTAATTAGTGTTAAACATAAATATAACTTCAAATTAACATTTGAAAATAATATTTATATATTCAATAATTCGAATTAATATTAAACAAACATATAAATAATCTTAATTTACCTGTCCAATAATTATTTCAGAAATATCCATAGGTTCAATATGAGCTCTTAAAAGACTCTCTTTAATGACTATACTTCCTAAATCTGCTCCTTTTAATGATGATAAGGAACCACGAAAAGATCCTAAAAATAATAAAATATTTTATAAAACAATGAAAAAAAATTATTGTGATAGAAAAATAAAACAAAATATAAAATAAAAAATATATATTATTGTGCTATAGAAATAAAATACAGAAATAAAAACAATACAAAAATAATAATTATAAAAAAATATAGGAATCATTTAATATAACAATAATATAATATATTATTATGATTTGAATGTAATATTTTTATTTTAAATCATAGTAACAAAATATAAGTATTATACTTGGATATAAATGTATAAATAAATACTGTTATTTTAAATTGAAAAATTTTATTTTGTTAGAATAGAATTAAATAATTTGTTAGAACAAATTTAAGATAACAAAATGTCTTTAAAGGTATGTTTAACACTTTTTTAATTTTCGAAAAACACTTTTTCATTACACTTTTCATTATAGAAAAAAATAATTATTAATTTAAAATTTGATTGTTTACATTATGGCATTTAAACTGGGTTGGTAATATAATATTGAATAAACGTTATTATTTTTAATTATTGTATTATTCAAAATCGCAATGAACAAATTTATACCTATGGGTGTCCTGACTGCCGATATTATTACAACGTCACTGTGGTTCATGTTGAAAATTTCCTAAATATCACGTCTGAACCTCTGAAAAACCGGACGAAGACTACCGCCACGAACCGATGTAGCAGAAATAAGTTAGAAATACTAGCAATACCTATACCAGTAACGGCTTAATGAAAGTATGTCAATCGAAATGTAGGTGCATTCTTTCCTAGATAGTTCCACGTATGTCCGATTGAACGCGTTGCACTACATTTTTTATTCACTTTATCTTACATATTTTATTTTATTATGTTATTCATTTCATTATTCATTTCATTATTATTTTCACTCGAACGAACATTTTATACGATTAGTGTCGAGATCTCTGCTGTTTCAGATGTGATACGTTCCTGATCAACGTCATCGGCTGGTTAACTTCTAATTCGGCGTACAGGTGGCGCTGAACCACCAATTGTGAGGTCGCGGTGGTGCTCGTTTGTTTTTACCCAGCGTGCATTGTGAACAGTGACTGGTGCTAAGATGGCCGACAACAAGGAGGAGATTTCGGAGCTCGTCGAAAAGCGAGGTATTTATCACAGTTGTTGGATTTATTTTTCGTGATCACCGTTTAGAGTAGAAGCCCGATTCACGGCGAGCGTGTCGATGATCTCGGACGGACGGTATGATCCGTAGTTGTGATAAAAATCACGCCATCTGCACGCACGGTGTTCAGGAGGAATGATCGCGAAAATCGACGTGAATATACTAACGAATCGGGCCTGTTTTCCGTGTCTCTCGCGTTCCTAGCGTTATCCACGAATAGTTAACCTAGCTTACGTTGATGGGGACGTGTCTGTCAACGCGACGTCAATTTCGACCAGCGCCAAACATGCCACGATTTGACAGGCTACGAGCACATTCGGTTGCACGACACCCTTCGTACAGTGTGTGTAGTACATGCGAGCAGACAGAATACCGTGCTCGTTCTCATATGTCCGCCTAAGCGCTATGCTCGTTACTCATTAAGGTCATAACGCCGACGGCCTTGCAATTCGCACCGTCGCTAAAGTAATCTCACTCGAGATTACCGTTATCTCTTACCGCGAATTTATTGCCGGCTGATTCGTCTATAACATCTACCAATGCGCGTAGTGTGCGCGTGTTGCCTATGGGTTAGGTTTCCAATCACGGTACGTCGACCACATTCGGTAGCGAATTTGCCAGTGTTTTCGAAGATACGACACATTCGGCACGCACTCGGCTGATAATAAAACGCATGATGTCACGATCAATTTCTTTTTGGCATAAATGCCCCTATGATCGATTGCCACTTGACGTTACGTGCTGCCGTTATGTCTTGTGGAATTTGATTTTCGATATGTCGTCCACGTTTGAAACACATTGAACATGTTTAATTCGTAAATCTCCTCGTTTCCACTTTTGATAAAAGACATTTTAAGTACGCGCACATTCACAGAGCTGTAATGTTTGTTTTGATGTCGGGGGAAATTACCGTGTACAGTAACACGTGGTGCGTGTTTCTTCCGACAATTTAGCTGTCGCAACTGTACAAAACAAGAACCACGTTATCTTTATTTCTATAACCTAACGTCTGTTTATCAGGCTGGTGCGTGTTTAACATTGTCATTCGTGAATGTATCGAGCATGTATGTAGATCAGCAAACTCAGTCATTTGCTCGATATGTAATTATCGTTCATCGGCAATCGAGTGGCTTTTAATATGTACCGACTGTTGTTTCTCCGATCGTTCAATGGGTAATTGTTTCCCTTTTCCGTGGGAACGATATTCTCAAGCGTACGGGCAGCAATGAACGGAACGATCAACCGGTGCGATTAGCATCACAGAATGATCAATCGAGATTTCTGCTCGTCTTTTGTACATAATGCGATTAACTGTTACATGCGTCGTGGTATTGTGCGGCAAGGCTCGCATCGGTGTGCCTGGTTGCGCGTCGAACCAGTTCCCATGCGTCTTTATTAGAATTTTCTCTCTCCGTGGACGTCTCTTCACGGTTGCGCCTTTAATATGGATCAGTCCTGGCGTGCAGACATCTTGGTGAAGAGCAACGATATCGAACAATTCATTTTCGCGTGAATCGTGAGATGTGGCGCTCCCAGGCATCGCGTGACTCTCTGTTCTCCGTTCTCCTCGCCACATTTTTTCCGTTTAATATCCGCTTAATCCATTCGGCTACTCCTTTGTCGTTATTCGTTTCGCTGATATTCCAGAAACATCGCGATGATAACGATCTTTCGTAGACTAACGGATCGATATTCTTGCTTAGTATATTCTACCTGTGTCCCGTTTCAACGAGCTTTTCTAGCAAGTTACACGCGTTCTATATCTACGTTTGATTTTAACGTAACGATCATTTTTGTTTTTGCATTAAAAATTTTTTTTAGTAAAATCAGATGTGATGTAACATTTAAGTCGAAACATTCACTGTGACAAACATATAGTTTCTGCTGAATGACAGTTAATTTTAGAGGATACTTGAATAGAGGATACTTAAATTTCTTTCCTTTTTGCTCGCTTTACGTGTATCTTTGTCGAGCTGTTTTTCTATTGTTGGATCGTGTCGACCAGCTGACGTTAGATTCTTATTTTTCGCTGAATTTTAACGGAAGTTGGTCATTTAATGCTCCACGAGAGAGCACATCTGTCCGGCTATCGGAAACCAAGTATCGGCTACTCCAATAACGTGATTTTCCAAATTATTTCCGATGACGTATCGCGAAGAATATTCATGTACACTTGATGGTGCCATTTACGTTCGTGTGTTGCGTAGGTAGCAAGGTCTACGAACCGCGAGCGAATAATTTGAAAATAAGGTCGCCGGGTTTATGACTCGCTGGTGTTCTCAATTTTACTAACAGCCTAGTTAATAACCACCACGTAAATTATCTTTCTCCGGTTTGCAGGAAAATATTGCAATACTTGACTATCTATTTGAAATTTTATCGTCACGTGAATATCTTAATTTTCTTAATTGAAGGTCGCGGAAAAAGACCACGTTAGAACCAATTTTTTTTCCCGCAAATAAGCAGCGTTAAATGTTAAGGTTTTGAAAGAATAAGCCTCTTGTAAATGGGCCACTGTAGATACATTTTCGATTATGTAACATCAAAATGCTGTCTCTTCAGTTTACTATCTTTGATAGTCCGGTCCGAGGGAATAATTGATCAACGGATGGAATGTCTAAGTTTAATCACCTTTAAATTTGCCCTTCCTAATTAATCGTAACGAATGCAGAATTACGCACAATTAAATCATAATCCGAAATTACCATCGGACTCGATTACGATTGCACGAATGTCAGGAGAGCGTGCGCGAGGCACGGAGCACATGCTGCAATGGAAACGTGACTTTCCATGCGGTGATGAGGCGTCAATAAACGAAGCCTCGATAGATATTCTTTGCTGATCTGCTCTATTTGCCGTCCCGTCCGTATGCATGGTACGTGCTGGTAATTTTCTATTAATATTTGCTTCTATAACGCGTGTATTTATTTAGTGGTTTGAGCGCGAGTCGAACGCAGAAACGCCGTCTTTGAAAGATCCGGATTCGTTTCCCTGTATTCCGTTGTTTCCCCGAGGTTTCTTCTTGTATAAATAAACTGTGAGCTAGTCACAGGATGCAACAGATGACGGAGGATACTCAAGTAGGTTGCATTTATTTATTCGTGGTGGCGTAGAACCGCCATTCGATAACGGTACATCATTGTTTTGGCGTGGTCAGAAACCGCATTTTCAACGTCGAGCCACGATGTGTAAATAACCGCTGAAACAATTTTTCTCTCCCTATTTCAATCCCGTTGTCTGTTCGTTTTCTTTCGTTCTTTTTTTTTTCTCTTCCCTCCGATTCGTACATATACACGGTACGCATCCTTAAACGAGCAAATTATCGACTTTCGAGGGTCGAACAGCGTGCGTGCTGCAAATGATCATCCTCCTCGTCTCTCGTTCCACTTTATCGGTCCAAATGCGGCTGGTACGCGCAAACGTATGCGCTGTTAAGCAAAATCACTGATAATCCGTACTTGTCGTACAGACGTGTATGTAAATAGACATTGCTTTTTTTTCCATTTAGATCCATTGACGATCCGTGAACGGATGTCTTCGGTTCCGTTCCGTTACGTTCTTCATAACTCTTTGAAACCCACAGATTAATCTTTCATTCGTTGAAATTCATGGTTAATTTCGTGGCATTCACCACGTATGGTTCGCGTATGGTAGCCTAGATATCGTAATATTCAGGACAAACGGGAACGAAGTGAGGGCGGTGTGTCGTTGTGTCCTTGTGTCGTGTAACGCTTTTATCGCTTTGCCACGGCCACGCGGGGGTTGGTGAGGAGGAGAGGGGGGATGTTATAAACAGGAAACGATGCAGAACGTTTTAAATTGGTCGGCATTTGTGCGACACTGAATCGGCAAAGGAAGGGTAGGCTCTAGCCTCTGACCGTTTAATAAATCGTCCCGTTCTATTGATAAGTACCTAGTCCGGGGAGAGACGTGGCGCAATTTCACGCGCGTTCTTCGTGCTCTACCAGAATCAATATCCTACCTCTCTTCTATCGTCCCGTACGAACGCGGTTTCGTATGACTTTCCGTTCCGTAACTTTGTCGCGTTCGATCTCTCGAGGGTCTTCGAGAGATAGACGTAAAGTTTTTCTAACGAACAGTGCATGGTGTGCATGGTTTCTAGGCAGTACACACGGAGGTACATATGCATGATGCATATTATTCCACCGATCTAAATCAGCGTTTCGTTCTGGCTGCTCCGTACTAGGTGACCACTAATTACCAGCGTAACGCCGCACTATGTAATACGCACTAATTATTTTAACACCGTTACGTAATCGTTGACCGAACACCGTTTTCGATCAGCATTTCCTGCCTTGGTTCTCCGAACATTTTTCAGCGTGGCGAGAAAAAAGCGAAACTCGAGATAATCGCGGTGGTAATTAAGGCTGTATAACTAGCATCTGGCAGTTGATGCAGGGATAATAACGAGTTCGTCTTTTTTACGCATCGTTATATCTGCATTTCTGCATTTCCTAGAGTTTCAACGCCTTTGCTCACGAATGCATTACAACATTGTAGTACTTGTTTTTGTATTTTTTTCGCTGTGACTCGT